ACAAGGACCCACCGGTCCTGAACACGCAGGTTGCCCCAAATTCAGTCCTTCCCAGTTGGTAAAACCTGCGAGTGGTTTGTGATTAAAACGGTAAACTATCTTCTTGGTGATAACAACGCTCTCTGTGGTAAGGAAATAGCCCCGGGTCTGTGAACCCAACTCGTTTTTCATCGACGTCCGTGTTTAACGTCTTGCTGGGATGAGAGGGATTTTTAATGCTTCTTATTTTGTGCTTGAGGTTAATCTGATGTTTCATTTCTCACACGAGGCTCTGGGGAACACTAGTAATTTCCACGTTGTAAAGCCTTCTCTCATTGTTTATCCCACGCAAAGGCAGCTGTTCCAAATTCTGAGGATCTTCTACCTGGAGCGGCAACCCTAGGATGATATGGGTGGCTTTGCAGACGAAGGTGTTGTCAGTTGACTCCGGAAACACCAGAGAAACAGTCTTATCATGGGAAGTGACACTCCTTCTGAGGGCTTTCGCGTGTTTTATGCAGTGATCATAAACCCGCACTTAATCAACTACCCTTTAAATGTCTGAACGTAAGGCCTGCTCTATCCCCAAAAGTCACCAAGACAGGGCCGCGCAGAAGTGAATCACAGACATCCCCTGAGGAGAGGAACTCGTGAGAGAATGGCTGGAGAGACTCCCAAGAGGGAGAGAACCCCAGCTGCAAGAGGTCCCAAGCCTGGCGTAGGACCTCACTCACACAGTGTGAGCGTGGTGGCCGATGGCCGTCTCCCCTCATGCTCACTGGGACCCAGACTGAAGCCAGATCTCGCTGGGTTCATACACCAGCTCCGCGCCTCACCGAGGGATGATGTGAGACAAACTTCTGCACCTCCTCTGCCTCGGTTTCCTCGTCTGTCAATGAGGATGCCGGTAGCGTCCTCCTGACAGAGCTGGCGTAGAGTTCAGTGAGACACTGACCCGCGGGGAAGGGGCAAAAGGACTCTGGCCTCTCTGCTTCTTGCCTTTCTGTCTCCCACCAGCGCCTCTGATGGCAAAGCCTTCCCTGGAGTGATGGGGTGACGGGGCCCCAGAAGAGAGATCCCGCTCCAGGATGTGTCTGAGTGCAGGCACCCAGGCACTTAGCAGGCGTCACCGTGAGCCAGCCCCCGACGGGTACTTGACTTGGATTAATTCATTTAACCTCTCGCATACACATTAGGTCTATTACTGAAGTAATTACTGCATAATCCAAAGAAAAAATGGCATGCGAGTGCGTCCCGACCCTGAAAAAAGAGAGGAAGAACTCTGCGTCACTTAGGTTGAAGTCCCTGGAACACAGCGTGGACCCCACCCTTGGAGGTCATCCAAGTCATATTTAAGTTAAATGAACTGGAGAAGCCGGGCATCACACGGGGTCCACTCCTAGTCCTGCTGAGAAAGGGCTGCATCTCTCTCTCTCTCTCTCTTTCTCTCTCTCTCTCTCTCTCTCTCTTTCTCTCTCTCTCTGTGTGTGTGTGTGTGTGTGTGTGTGTGTGTGTGTGTGTGTGTGTGTTGGACCCTGAGTCATCATCTGGATGTCCACTGTGACTCCAATGCCCACACTGGATGGACTGCAAGACCGAACCACAGGGAGGGAGGATGGTGCCCAAGGAATTCTCAAGCCAGGCCCAGACTTGGGACAGACGAGGCCTTTGAGGAGCACTGGCCACTGTAAGGGGACCGGGTTTCAGCAGAGAACCTTGGGTGGAAGCTGAGCCAAGGGGGTCCGCTCCAAGGTGTGGGCCTCAGGAAGAACTGGAATCAGGGGGAAGGGCAACGCGTGGGCCTGGACACATGGAGTCCGAGCTGCTTTGGGGGCGCCGAGTGGCTCAGCCCTGCAGGCTGTAAGAGGGGGAGAGTTCTGAGGCTCAAGGAAGGCCAGGGCTGGAAGCACGAACCATGTCACTCTGTCCCCTGGGGTTCCACCTGTCAGGTCTGGCTTGCTTTGCATGTGGATGCCCTGTGAGCCCTTGTGGACAGCCACAGGGCTCCAGCGCCACCCACTGAACTGCCCAAGGTGGGAGCAGCTTGGGTTCCCCATCCTCGCTCACGCAGGGGCTGGCAGGCAAAGGCTGAAGGTCTGGGTGCTCTGCATCCCCGCAGCCCATCCAGCCCGTGCCCACTGCACCTATGACTACACAGAGCGGACTCCCTGGCCACCTCACCCAAGGCCCGGCCTGGACTCACTCTGTGCGCGTCATACCTGGCCGGTACCTGTGATGTGTGCACAGACAGACGGGTATCATTGCCTTTCTGTGCCTTGGGGGCAGTTTTAGGACCTGCCCCCTCAGCATGACATAAAGGCCATGGAGAACAAGTCTACCTAAGTCCTGATGTGTCATCGGGACCTCAGTGTGAGTTTATTATTGATGACCAGGCTCCAAACCCCTCCCCACACCCACCACCCTCCTCTGATTGCCTCCAATTCGTCTCCACTCCTAGATGTAACCCTGGGAGGAAGATAGTCGGGAGTGGTCCGGTCAGCCCGGGTAAACTGGGCCGGGTAATTCTAGATGCCTTATCTTACAGCCACTGCCCTCAGGTATCAGAGAGACTGTGGCCTGCACCGGCTAAGAACTGGGGCAGCGAGCTGGGCTGCTGTGTTTTGCACACTGCTACACGGGGTTGCTGTGGGCTTTGGATGACTTAAAGCATTCCGAGCAGGACCCGGGGCATTTGTGTGGTCATTGGCCAGGATGAGCAGTAGGTCCCAGAATGCTGGATTCCACTGGGTTGTGGCCACTTAGAGGTTTGGAAAGGTTAAATGGAGCCAAGTTGGTTGATGCAGAGTTAGCCTGGCACCCAGGTGACCTGTGTGCCTTCCCCTCATACACGCTCTGGAAACTGTGTCCCCACTGTGCCCTCTCTGCGCCCACAGCGGCAGAATCCAGAGAGGGAAGGGGACCAACCATCTACACCAACAGAATCTTCAAGTCCTTGGGTTTTGCTTCTTAACAGTAATGATTTCTGCAATGGGGACAAATCTGGTGGTAATTAAGCGAGAAATAATTTTGATTTTTTTCAACTGCCTGATTGCTTAAAATCTTAAAAATTATTGGCAAGGATTTTTGCCCCAGGAACACATTGCTGAGTATCTTCGTGTCTCTATTTTCTCTTGTGACCCTCAGCAAAATGGCAAAGAAACCATCGTCTCGGGGCTGGTGGTGGGCTGAGGTTTTGTTGCTTGTTTTTGATTTGCTGAGTGGCCACCAGGATCAGGGTGCTTTACCACGAATGACCCGCACCATGGCCCCGGAACTCCAAGCATCCAAGTACTCCTCACAGTGCTCCTCACTCTGACAAACACTGTGGTACTGAGACGTCTTGGGGAATGGTCTTTGGAGCCGGTGAGGGTCGGGTTTCCTCAGGAGCTGGACTTCCCTAAGGTCTGGTTCCCGTCACCTGGGCTCATAATCGGATCCACCTGACAGCGTTACTGTGTGAATTAAATGAGGCAAAGCATTGAAACACTGAAGCTCTCTGCCTGAATAGCCCGAGATATCTCTGTAAGCATTAGAGGTCGCTGTTCCTGAGAAGCAGCAAACCCTTTTGGTAAGCAGCACAGACATTTGAACCAGAAATATCTGACCTGATGCCTTCTCCCATTTACAAATTGTGTAGCCCTGGTTTCCCATGTATATTTAACAATGGGCCTAACAACTTCCTTCCCCCAGAGTTGTAAAGGTGAGAGACAGTCCTCAGACAGAACACAGTGACGTGTTCCACACAGGTGTCATCATCACTGCCACTCTAAATATTTCTGGCTCTTCGCTTCAGCCACACAGGAGGACTGTCCTTTGTGGGTGTGACCTGTGCATCCTTTTGGCCAGTGAAGCGTGCACAGAAGTGGCCCAGAAAGAAGTCTAAAGAGCTAGTGTGCAATCTGCCACACCAATAGCGGGGCGGGCATCATAAAGGAGTCCCTGCTCATCTGGACTTTGAGGGTCTCTGTGGACAGGGCTGCTAACAGACAGGTAGGGGAAGTGGGAGAAACTTTCACTGTGTTAAACCATCGGGATTTTGGGTCATTGGTTTCACTACATCATCCATGCTACCCGATGCACGTGGTGTACAGTGGCCTCCCAAGTGGTTTTCTGCCGTGATTATTACAGTCCTTGATGGCTTACAACTTGGAGAGCATGAGTAAGACTTGGAAAAATGAAATGTTAAGGAATAAATCTTCACATGAGCAATGGTAACTAAGTGAAAATTTCAATACAATATATATTCTAGAAAGCATGGATGAGAAAGAAACTAGTGCTTACAATAATTAGAAAAGGATTTGTTTTATATTAAACCCAAATCAACTAAGACTTTGATTTTTGTTCCATCTAAAGAAAAAGAAATTTAATTCCTGGTATACCTTGTCACTCAACATACATCTTGAATTCTTGGGCAGAATCTTAAATTGGACATTTAAGCAGTGATAGCCACCAGCTCCTCTCGGGGCAGCACCTGTTTTCACTAAATCTCAATTTCTGAGATGCAGGTCTTTTCTCTGGGCTTTTCGCTAACGGGGGCATGGTGATTGCTAGCAGGTACATTGGCATCACCCTTTCTTACTAAGGGCATCCTCCTTGCTCCTGGCCCTGGGCTGCTGCCTGCTGCCCAGGTCACTGGGGCATAGGCGGCCTGGACAGTAGACTGCAATGGAAGAGTGCAGTGGGGGTCATGGTGACAGGAAGGTGCCAGCACAGGAACCCAAAGGCCGGATGCGAGCCGCTGGTGCCCGAGCCTCAGAGCACAGCCACGTCCATGGGCATGAGCTTGTGGTCAGATTTCTACCTGCTGCCACAAACAAGCTCCCTCAGTTCCCCCGTGTCCCCAGATGCCACCCGAGGAAGGAATCAGGGAGGGGGAGAAGCAGCTCCCATGGGAGCCTGAACTCTGGAATGTCGAGGCCTCCCAGTGAGGTAAACAGAGGCCTTCCTGGAGGGACAGGAACCCTAGAGCAAGTTGAGATCAGTTTTCAAAAGCTAATGTACTATGTTTTCTCAATGAACAAAATTTCACTCACCCTCTATTTACTTACAACTTTATATAGCAAAGTGCAAGATTGTGTCACACACGTTTGAGCAAATAAAAAATTAATGCATGGCCCAGGAGGCCGCTTCTTTGTGTGACACCAAAAGCATCCACGAGTGCAGAGGCTTCCAAGTTTTCTACGCATAGTGGAGTTGCACGGAGGGGCTGGCGACGATGCTGATTCCTGGGCCCGGCCCCGAGTGTCTGATCACGTGATCTCAGGCCTGGGCTTAGAAACTGCCTGGAGTTTCTGCCTGGTGCCAGGGACCACACTCTGAGAGCCACTGTGCCGAGTCCTCCAAGCCTAGTGTGCACCTGCTGCAGTTCACACTGAACGCTGTTGGGCGAGCACCAGGTGACGTCACGACACTGTCACCCTGGCTCTCTCCTTCCCCCTCACCAACACGTCACCATTGCTGACAGTTACTGAGCAGCTCCTTAGCCCCGCGCAGTACCAAGAGCTGTGTCCTGCGGGTCAGTTCATCCTTCACATCCTGCCACTCGCACTGTCCAAGTGGCCACATCCGCGCTCTGAGAAGTTGAGGAACTTGTTCAAAGTGACGGGCCTTACTCCCTAAGTGGCACGGCTGGGCCCCACCACCCCAGCCCGGTCCTCTTCATGCCAGCAGTGCTCCTTCCAAAGGGATAATCGGGAGGCCAGAGACTCAGGGCTGAAGGAACAAACCAGCCTCGTCAGCATTTCACACCGCATCGTGGTCCTCAAGCCACCCAGACTCGGGCCTTCCCAGCCATTGTGCCCGCATCTCTCTCCCTTTCCGGAGCTTGAGAACCTCTCATCTGTTATCAGGGGCCAAGTCACCTCCATTTTCTGATCACTTTCCCAGCCAGCCGCCTGGCAAGCGGGGGGGGGGGGGGGGGGCTTGCGTGAGCATCTAATTAAATTGAGTTTTGCTAAACACAACACCATCTCCTCTGGAGAGAAATCGTATCACTGTTTGTGAGCAGAAGCAGCTGTCAGCAATTATGCTTTAAATAGTAGGGTTTATTCTCCTATCCGATGTGCACAGTATACAGAAACGCTTGCATGGAGCATTGAGTTCGGGGTGAGCCTGAGCAAGCGGATGGAGAGCAGTGCAGGTCCAGCTCTGCCACCCGAGCCCACCGGGAGGAAGGCCGTGCTCTCCCCAGGAGCCGATCTGAGTGTGAGCAGACCCAGAGCTCAGGAGACTGAAGGCAGTGACCAAGGATGCACCCCCTGCTTCCCCTCTACAAGGATCTCCAGCTGTCCCACACCAGCAGGACCCCGGCCTTCTGTGTCCACTGCAGCAGCACATGTGTGACGCTGCTGTCTCCGGGCCTGACTCAGCCACTGTGCAAAGCTCTCCTCCCTCCCAGCCTCCCTACTGCTCATTCCAGCTGCTGGACCTGCAACCCGCGATGCCTGGAAGTGGGGTTGGGGACACAGGACAGAGCTCAGGAGCCGGAAGGGAGGAAACAGAGTCCACAAAGATGGAGCCACCGATGGCCACAGGCACCCAGGGTGTGGTCCTGGGCTGGCTCTGGGCTTCCAGCAAGCCTCCTCACCACCCAAGACCCAGCTGACGAACATACGCTGGGTTTCAGCTCACCCGAAGTCTCTCCGTTCTCTTTCATGCACGATGACTTTCCCATTTGCCTGATTATAAAAGGAATACAGATTCATCACAAAAGCAAAAAGTCAAGAATGAATATGGCGTGCCACTCCTCTGTGGATTTCATGTGGTTTTCACTGTTTCAGACATACTCAGACATCGACTTTGTCACCCAGATATTTTTATAGATCTACATAACTCTCAGCGTTAAGTTGCACCCACTCTCTGCCCCGTTTTACAGCTGCCTTCTTTCCCGCTGCATGGTAAATTATCTATGCCTTTGCAAGCTGATCAATAGATAGCTATGTCATTATTCATAATCATGTCAGTTACTTTCTTATTGTTGAGACCTAACACCCAAGGCCTACACCTGGAAGGAGGAGCTTGTTTGGGCTCACAGTTTGTAGAGGTTTCAGTCCAGAGCTTTCAGTTTGTAGAGGTTGGGTGGCTCCAGGGCAGGTGGCCACAGCAGAGGAGAGACAGCTCCTGTCAGGGCGGCGGGAAGCAGAGAGAGATCAGGGAGGAGGAGAGACTCAGACCCTTCCAGGCCACGCCCCCGTGACCACCTCCGCCAATCAGGTTTCACCTCCCAACATCACGGTGAGCTCTAAACTGATTAGGGAACTAATCTACTAATGCACCTCATGCCTGTGACCCAGTCACCTCCTGAAAGCCCCTCCCCCGTGAGCACATGAGGGTTTTGGGGGACATCTGGATATAAGCTGGACACTTGCAGATGGTTGTTATTTACTTAGCCAGTTTCCTCAAGAGCTGGGGGCTGCTAGCGTCCTTGGCCCTCACCACAAAAGCACCAGCAAAGTGACACCCTGCAGCAGTCCCCCTAGGGTTCCCTTTCCCCCAGAGCTGGGGTTCCTCTGTGGCTGTGAGCCTCTCCATCTTGGATGCTCTGATGGGTGGAACTTGTCCTCAAGTCTGAACCCCTATATCATGTGCTTATGGACAGGCAGGTAGCCACGCAAAGCGGGGGGACAGGCTCTGAACTCACCCTTCTCCCTGTGTCCCCGACCTGAGCATCCCCTCCCACCCCCTTTCTGTGAGTTCTGACCCCATCTCCATCCACCCCCTTCTTATCCTCCCAAAGTTACTTCAGTTAACACGCATTCTAGAATTTCTCCTCTCTTTCTTTCTCCTATTAATCTTTCCCTCCTTTCTTCCCCCAGCCGTACACACATGTGCTCTGCCCCTCGCCCACCCCACATAGCACAGTGCTATCTCGGGGGACCTATGGCATAGAAACCAGGGTTCACTGTGTGTCTCCCTCCTGCATGAAGCAAGTCCCCCTGGCAGACCTGTGGACAGACAGCTTTGTGGACAGCGCGATGCTGCAGAGGGGTGATGGGTTCAGACTCTGGCGTTCGCAGGGTTCCCCCAGACCCTCAAGCAGTGCAAAAACGGAGCTGAGAAAAAAAGAAAAGACAGGCCAAAAGGCAAGCTCAGCGTGGAGTGGGGTGGAGTGGGGTCGAGTGGAGTGCATGCACACAGTAACCTTCTCATCCCGCCGGGAGGGAGTCCTGGGCGCTGCAGGGTGAACAGGAAGCCTGGAAATGACCAGGAGTTTGTTTCAAAAGCTTCCATCCATTTCAAACGGGAATCGTTGTGCTTTATCTGGGTGGATTTATCTGGCTTTTGATTGGCCTCACCATTAATAATTTTCTTAGGGAAATGCAGGAGATGTGGGGTCTTTTCAGATGCACTGCTTACATCCTTGTCATCTCCTCCGGGAAGGGCCACAGGAGCACCTGACGGGGACAGGGCCTCCTGCACAGCAGGCGAGGTAGAACTGGGACACCAAGTAAAGCTGGCGCCAGGTTTGAGTCTCACTTCTACTATTGACTCCTTGATTGGGCTGGACAGGTCAGTCTCGCTGAACTCTATTCTTCCATCTGTGCAGGCAGAAAATCTTTTCTAGCTCCAAATTCTATGTGAATAATGACCTTGCTTTAGGGAGCAAAGAAAAGCAATTAAAAAGGAAGAAAGAAAGAATGAGCTTGCCAAAAGCAAAAGACTATATCCAAGTCAGCTATGAACACATGGAAAAAGGAGCAGTCTGTCCCCTTGCAGGGACATACTGGTTCACGACAACAGTCAAGAGCAAAAAGAATAGCATGTTCCTGGTGAGAGCCGGTGGGGGCTGTTGATTATTTCCCAGAGACTGTTTCCCACTATTTTTCCTTAAGGAATAGCACCTCACCATCACCCAAACAAACGCATCAAGTCCGCACGGGCCCCATGATCACCCAGGCAGAATTACTATGTCCCAGCACCCCGTGCAGGCCTGGGAGTGTCAGCCCAAGCTTTTATCCAGTGACACCCCAGCAACAGCAAGGACGAGGTGTGATCAGAAGGCACAGTGAGCCTTTAGATTAAAAATGTTAATTCGTTACAGGACCAGACCACTGCCCTTGGCCTCCCTCAAAATCCCCCGCTTCAGCCGCACGTAAGCATGGTCTCCCCCTTTCTGCAGCAGCTCTGAAAGTTCCCTTCCCTAGCGTCTTGTTCATGCAGCTGTGACTGCTTCCACGTCTTGAATCCATTCAAACCATTTGGGTGATTTCTGTGCAACAAAACTTAAACAGGCCCTCGACTTCAGGCTTTTCCCCAAAGTCAAAACGACCAGGAGAGGCAAACATTTCGGAAAGGTAACCAAGGCGAGGAGTATTAATGTGGCTGATTCTCAGTAAGCCACATTAGCTCTTACCATAATTATGTTTTTAAACTAAGGTGGAACTCACCGTATTTGATGATAAGCTGCATGTTTAACTTCTGTGTCTTTTCCTTAATTTTCACATCTTTGAGTCTCTTTACTGGCCACTGGCAATCTTGTGGTATTTTACACATTCCTATAAGACTTTTGATTTTTCTTCTTGAACAAGGAATGAGTGAGCAGATAGATGGATAAATGAGCGAATAACAGTAGGAGGAGGAAAGGTTTTATAAGCTACGTAATTTAAGTCAGGCATTTCTTTAGCAACATCCTTAAGAGAGTCAGTCCAATGGCCCGATCTGGGTGTTGGTCATGATTAGAATCCCCTATTTGATGAAACAGTCAATCTCAACTTTTACCAGAATATTCTCTTACAGAGAGTCTTCTTCCTTGCACAAATCTCTACACCATTGTCTACAGCAGTGGTGTGAGGCCGTGGCCTGCATGCCACAGTGGGATGCTGGCTATCATTGAAAACTCTAAAATATTTGCCATCACTGATCTATGAGCAAGAGGATATAATACAAGTGATGATTAGAATATACAGTGACTGTTTACATTTTAAAATTTATTACGGTACATCACACGTTGCCATTAAGCTTCCCCTAAATCTTCCCCCTTGCTTGAATATACCCACCCCATCAATCTTGCCACTTTCCGAGTCATTCCGGAAGTCCCCTTCCACAAGCATCTTGAGGAGGCGTGGTCAACAATAGGGTGAATGCTGCTGTCCAGTGCCAGCCAGAGGAAGGCTCGTGAAAATGCTACCGTGTGTCTCAGACACCTTGCTCAACAGATCTGGCACTGTGGAGCTCCTGGCTTTTCCCCACAGTCAAAAGGACCAGGGGAGGAAAGCATTTTGAATCAGTTCAGAACGGGGAGGCAGCTGTGGCAGTGCACCCAAAGCTCCTCAGGAAAGAGGACTCCACAGCTGCTTCAGAAAGGAGCAAGCGCGAGGGGGTAACCGCGTCCTTCTGAGGAGAATCAATGGCACTGCGTCTTGCACCGTAGTAAACTTTTAAAAAATTTAAAACTGCACTGTATTTCCATCATACCGTGTATTTTTAATGAGAAGGAAAGCGAGGTCTTAAGAACAAAGTAAAACGATGTTAGTTCTTATTCTCAGTAAGCCACATTAGCTCCGAGCAATCTCTGTAGTGTTTTCTAAATACAAATCATCAGTGTTTGGAATCCTGCCAGGACTCAATTCAAGATTTATCTAGTTCCATATTATAAATAAACAATGAGGTGTGCGGCAGGAAAGGAACAGACAGCCCACAGAACAGAAGGAAATATTTGCAAATTATACATCTGATCGGGCGCTTACATCTAGAATGTAAAAGAACTGTATGACTTAATATTAAAAAGATGAATAACCCAATTTATGGAGGAACAAAGGATCTGAGCAGGCACATCTCTCTGAAGATACAACCCACGAGCATGTGAAGATATGTCCAGCATCATCAGCCATCAGGAAAATGCAAGCCAAAAACCACAGTGACACAACTTCATAGCTGCAATAAAAAGATAGCCGATTAGTACTGGGCAAGATTTGGAGAAAGGGGACGCCTCATGCCACACTGAGAGGTCATGAAACTGCGGCTGCTTTGAGAACAGCGTAGGGTTAAAGGCACAATTACCATGTCACTCAACAACTGCACTCCTGGGTGTCACCCCAGGGAATATGAAAACAGCCATCCACAAAGCATACTTGTAAGTAACATCCACAACAGCATTGTTCACAATACTGGAGCCAACCTGAATATTTGACTGATGAATGGATAAATAAAATCAGGTTTATGTACACAATGAAATTTCTTCACACATCATTATGTGGATGAAACTTGAATACTTGCAGTTAAGTGTAAGCAGCCAGTCACAGCCAGATCTTCAATGCCCACAGCAGAAAAAACAGAGACGGGAAGAGGAATGAATAGGGGTTCCCTAGGACTTGGGGGTGCGGTGGGATGCAGGGCATTGGAAAAAATAGAATGAGTGCTCACAGGTAGTTTCATTTTGAGGTGACGGAAATGCAAAACTGATTGTGGGGACGATTGCACAGTTCATGAGAATATCAAAAGCCACTGAAGTCTGCATTTTAATTTGGTAAGTTGTAAGGTAGGTGAATTACATCTCAATACAGATGTTATTTTTAAAACTGAGGTTGTGATGTGGTGTCCACCACTGTTCTTAGTTGGAAACAAACAAATTTTTATGGTTAATAAGCAAAAAAGGGAACATACCAAGGCTATTAGGGATCTTAGCTCGTCCAGGAGAGTCAGGGAGTAAACTCCAACCCTTGTGGACTCTTACAGAGCAGCCACCACTTACCACAGACCCCAGAGCTGCTACTGATGACACTTGAAAGTGAACTAGTTTCCCCCCACAGCTCCCCGGAAGCTTAAACTTCCTCTACCTCTAGAGAAAGTACTCTAGAGTGATTGGCTCAGCCGAGGGAGGCCATCTGATTGGCTGAGTCTAGGGAGACCATCTGATTGGCTGAGACTAGGGAGGCCATCTGATTGGCTGAGACTAAAGGTCTTCGCTTAAATTGAAAAGGAAGCCAGGGAGCCAAGTTCTTGTGTCTGGAGCAGGGCCTAGGTTGAATAATTAGAGAAATATTTTGATCAAAGACAGGATATTTTTTAACCTCTCTTTCCTGGTCTCCTTTGGATATGATGAGTTTGAATTTTCTTCCCATTTTGGAGGCTGTATGGCCTAGGTTCTTATGATGATTGCTACTAACTGAAGGCTGTTTGTAGGCTGTGTCAAACAGTGGTGCAGCAGATGACTGTGCACATTTGCTCTCTGTTCTGAATGCATTGGTCTGGCAGCCTGAAGTCTGCTACAGTGTGAGCATTCCACCATGAAAATCGTCAAATGCTATAAAGCAGGGGTTCCTCTACCACCCCCACCCCAAGAGCCACTAAACACTTGGAGTCTACCACTGCCTTTATCCCAGTGATATCTAAATTGCCACTGTAACAAGCGAAGTATTTTACTATAGTCCTTGCCAGCGTGAGATTCATCGGTCTGTGTTGGCCTTCACACTGTTATCAGTCTGTGATAACTGCAAAAATTTAGAGTAATTTACAACAATTTGAAATTGCTGTAACATCCAAATGTGTGATTTCCAGTTATGGCAAATCGTCAGTCCAGGATGGATTGCAAACTGAAAACTAGCCCATCACCACAGGTCGTCTGAGGAATACAATCTTTGTTCTGTTCCCGCCCTCTGACACAGCAGGTAGTAACAGTCTTCCTAGGTATTGAGAGTCCCACCATCTGGTTATGGATGAATTCCTTAGCTCTTCCTTTAAAGACCGATTCTCATGATCTCAGGATCCGATCTCAGGATCCACTGTTCTGCCTTCTCTCTGCAGCCCCTCTCGGAACTGGGGGCTGGGTCTAGTGTGTGTGATTACTGAATCAGCCCCCTGATTGACGCGGCATAGTCCTGGGTGTGGACATGGGAGAGCTGCCTGCCCTGAGGGCCTGTGGCCTGGGTAATGTAAGGACAAAGGCAGGCTGCTGTGTCACTTGCTGCTTTGGTGGCTTCTGCCTGACCTGCTTTGCCGTGGGCTGACCCCCTCCACAATGCCCCTGTGCCACACCACCCTGCCTCACCAGCTGACCATGGACCGAACCTTTATGACTGTGAGCATAATAACCCTCCCTTCCTTTAACTCTAGGTGTTGGGGATTTGTTTCAGCACCAAGCAAAGTCACTGAGATGGTGACTTCAGGGGTTAAAAAGAAGAGACAGCTTCCAACACAAATAAGAACTCACGTGGATTATATAATAGCCGCTCCTCTCACTGTCTTTCCCACACACAAAACCAAGAAAGTTGTATATAAGCATATCAGGAGTTATCTCTCAGTGGCAGGGTAAGTGATAGATGTTATTCTCCCCTGCTCATTTGAATTTGCTGCATGTCCTACAATGAAAATGTTGCGTGTCATAATGATGAAGACAAATCCACGCCTCACTCCCTTGGTTCCGTGGACTCTCAGTGGATTCTTCCTTCTTGTGTCCCAGTTTCCTTCAGAGGAGATGCTGATGTGCATCTGTCCTCCCGGGGAGTCTCAGAGCAGCACATAAGGCCGTTTCCCTGACACGCTCAGAGATTAGATCTGGATCAGAGCTGATCTGCAAGCACTGAGGTTTCATGTGGCACTGTGGTTTGTCCCTCCCCACAGAGATCAAGAGGCGGCGGGATGACATATTCAAATGCTGAAAGAACACACTGTTAAAAACACTTCTGCTTCCAGCAAAGGTATCATTCAAAAATGAAGTCAAAATAATGTCGTTTGCAGATCAACAAAGATTGAGTGAGTGCTGCGGAACACTTGCCTTACAGGAAACAGCAAAAACATTATTCAGGCCGGGAGCAGCTGATGTGAGACACTACCGTCAGTGGAGAGGAAGAAGAAAACGCCAGACGTGGAGCAAATATAAAAGGCTGAAGACACATGCTTGGTTCTTCTTGTCTCTTAACTTCTTTAAAAGACAAAGTATTATCTAAATCAATAATTATGGTGCTGCTATTCATTTTCCAATACGTATAGAGATGCAATCCACGTGACCGTAATAGTACAAAGAAAGCCGAATCAAATGAAGACAAGCTTGCTGTGTTCTATTTAAATTAAGCCAGGAAATGTCTCACATAGAGAGATAAGATACATACTCTAACATCAAGGGCAATCCGTTAACAGCTAAGAACGGCAGTCACGAAAACATGGCACATACCTGGATCCCATTTAGGAGGTGAGGCAGAAAGACTGCTGTGAGCTTGAGGCTAGCTTGGGCCACATGGTGAGACCTTGTCTCAAAAAACAAACAAAAGAAAGGAGAAGGAAGACAGGAGGAAGGGAAGAAAGAAAATAATAAAAATTACAATACACAGGTTATAAAACATGACCCCAATAGAAGCACAAGTCAAACTACCAATGAAACGTACTTCGTATCCACCAGCAAGATTGCAATTAAAAAAACCAGGAAGAAGATAATAAGTTTCAGCAAAGACGTAGAGAAGAATTGGACTCTCACATATATTGTTGGTAAGAATACAAAAAAGAATACAAATGCTAATTCTATGTCAAACAGAATTACCAAGGAACTCAGAAATTCCTCTGGGGGATTTATATTCAAAAGAAATCAAAACAAGGCTTCAAAGAGGCATTTGCACACAAATACTTCATAGTGGCACAGTTGGTAGTGGCCCAAAGAGAGCCATAATCCAAATACATGACAATCTATACAGAAAATGTGATTGATATCTATTATGGTATATTATTCAGCCTTTAGAAAGGAATAAGGGAAAGATACATAATACAGTGTGGATGAAACTCAGAAACATTATGCTAAGTGAAAGAACTCACAAAGGCACACACCTTACGATTTCATTTATGTAATTATGCAAGCCAGGTGAGTCCACAGATACTAAAATCGCTGCAAGGGGTTAGGGGATTTGAGAAGGAGTAACACTGATCACATTTTCGTCACTTTCTTGTCACTATGCACAAAATCCCTGACACCTACAACTTAAAGGAGGAGAGGTTTACTGGGCCCAGTTTCCAATGGATTCATTCCAAAGTTCCACTTTACATAAAAAGAGATAAGATACATACTCTAATTCCAAAAGCAATCCATTGGCAACTAAGAACAGCTGTCATGAGGACAATGAGCTTGGCAACACGGCGCACACCTGTACCCCACATTCCTTCCACTGATGAATGTGGAGCCCTGTGATACAATCACCTTTCAAACACATGAGACTCTGGGGGACATTTCAGATCTAGACATAACATTCCAACTCTGGCCCCCTAAAGACTCATGTCCATCTCTTTTGCAAGATGCATTTGGTCCCTCCCCCAGAGTCACCACTTTTAACATTACCTGCATTGCTGAATAACGCAAGTCCAAAACCTCCTTTGAGATGCAAGGCCAGTCTTCACTGTGAGAACCTGTAAAACTCAAAAAAGCAGAGAAGAAAAACACTTAAATGCTTCAAATATATGATGGCACAGGGTAAACATTCTTATTCCAAAAAGTAAAAAGAGGGCAATAGGAAGTAAGGCCAAAACCCAGCAGGACAAACGTTACATCTTGCAGTCCCAACCTGGGCAGGGTGGGGTGAAATGTGGGAGCCCCTTCAGCCCGCCCTACAGCACTGCCAGCTGCCACTCACACGCCTCTCGCCGGCTGCTCCGCTCTCTGCCTGTGGTTTCATCAGCAGCTGTCCCTCATCCCTGCATCTCTAACTTTCTGGGATCTCAACTGAACCTTTGGCTTCCTGTTCACATCTTCAGACACCTCTTCAGGGCACACTGCCTGTCCTTACAGGTCTTCATTTAAAATTTGGGTGGACGCCTTCATAAACCCATCACTCTTGCAATCTGCATGCCTGTAATTCCAGCACCACATGAATGACAGCAGGATCTGTTGTCAGCTTGAGCAGTATGTGGGCACCACTGGACTATGGCTCCCGTGGCCTCTGCACGCCTGGATGGGTGAGTTCAGAGAAGTGAATCCTTGGGAGCCAGTTTCTCAGATGGTCCTTCTCAAGCTGAGCCCCTGACTGTCTTCTCAAATGAAAGACTTACACTTTTGTATCTTTGAGTCTGCAGTGGGTGGGCCATTGCTGATTTCTGAGATGCCTTCAAGCAATATTTCCTATCGTCCTGATGCAAATATTTGCCTTCTTTTAAATACTAATCTTTTCAGCAATCATGGTTCTGATGGTCACAACCTTACAGGTGCTTGCTTTCTGTTGAAACTTCAAATTTTTCATATCATATAGCTCCGCTTTTTTCCTCTGGCTTTTCACTATAGATCAGGCAAAAAGCCAGCAGTAACCATGCCACAACTTGAACATTGGACCACCTTAAAATTTGTACTTCCAAAGTAATCACTTCATTGTCCTTAATCTCAATCTCGTGCAAAAAAAGGACAAAATATAGACAAATTTTTCATCAGAATGAAATGAGTATGCTCTCTAGTTCACTTTCCAATATAGTCCCCATTCCTATCTGAAACCTCGAGAGTAGCTTTTATTTTCTGTTGTAGTCAGGGGTTGTGAGGAGAACAATTAGAAACAGGACACAGAATTTTAATATTATTTTATGATGGTCACCCAAAGTTAACACAAGAAAGTGCAAGAAATCTGTCCACAACACTAAACACAGAATATGCAGCCAAGGGCCTGGATCCCACAGCAATGTCCCACATGAGTCCAGATGAAAACCAACAGCCCATGACAATGCCTCCCATGAGTCCAACTGGAGGTCTAGAGCCCCTGAGAAGGACTCACACCAGGATCCATGCTGAGAGGCCCAACGGTCAGCAACGGAAGCTAGAAAGCCTATGCCAGTGGGG